CACTTAAACTGAATTTCGTCTTTAAAATTTTCCTCGATTACACTACCAAAATATCGAACATTTGAAACCTTTATGAATTCGTCAACTTAAACTGGATTTTGGACCTTAAAATCTGCCTCTGGATGAATCAATTAAGAAACAAAATTTATAGTCAATTCTTATTTTGTTATGTCACTACTACAAAAAGAGTAAAAGAACCCGGTTAAAAAGCCTAATATAACCCGGTTTTCAACCGGGTTTCTTACGGCCGAGTCCTATGTTGAAAACCTAATAGAGCCCGGTTTTACAAAGGAGTCATATTAGCATAATATAGCCCGGTTCCTATATACAAAACTGGTTCTTTTTCTTCCAAATAAAGACATTGTATGTATGACTATATAACCTGGTTCTCATCCTTACAACCGAGTTCTACTATGACACTCAAAATCCAACTTGTTTCATTATATAACCCGATTCTATAATGAACATACAACTGGATCCTTTAACAGTTTTTTTAATATTCATTTATTAAATCTATAATCCAAGTACTAAACATCCATATGGTTACAATTAGTAAATTTATTTTTTTGCATTTAATATAATCAAATAAATAAATATTGATATTAATTTGTAATGAATTTGTACACATTTTGCAACTATTAACACTAGGATCCGACATTAACAAAATGTTCTCGTATGTACACTAGTTGAAAGTTTTTTGACATCAACTGCCTTGCACAGCCCACTTCCAATAAACATCAACTTGCAGGCAATTATCCATGTTGCTCACTTGAAACATCTTAATATATACAAGCCAATGAAACTAAATATACACAAAAAGAATCATTTGCTTCCTGCTGATAGATGTCCATCACGATCCTCAAACACTTGGCAGAGAGAAATCAGAACACATTTAAGTAAATTATGGATGTAAAAGGGCTTTTACACATGAACCATAATAAAATTACATACATTGCAACCCCTAGTATTTGAACCTGATCATATTGGTTTACTTTACATTAAATCAATAACTATTTCACTTACCCTCAATATAGCTCACGTGAAGATCTCAATTAATAACTAAATGACTACAATTTCAGTTTTACCCTTATAAAGAATTAAATTGTCCATATCAGACGTGCACATCAAAATGGATCCAAAAACAATCATATAAATATGGAAGCTACTTGAATACTCTATTGAGTTCATTAACAAATAAAATATTACTCCCTCCATCCCAAAATTATTGTCCATGTTTGACTTTAGAAGTCTTTTTATGTCAACTTTGACCATAAATAACTTTATTTGTGTTATATAATTTTTGATGAAACTTATAACAATGAAAATACATTTAAAAAACAATCTATTCATATATCTTGCATAAAAAATTATATAACAAAAACTAAATTATTTAAGGTCAAAGTTGAACAAAAGAGACTTAAAAAGTCAAATGTGGACAATAATTTTGGGACGGAGGGAGTATATATTATGCATTTGTTCCTAATGCTATTTCAATATGTGATGTGGTCGTACATACATGATGCCTTTCTTATCTATTATCGGTACTTATATTAATTATAGAAACAAACTAACGTAATTAGTAGATACTCACAAACCTTGCTATGATGAATGCCTAAAACTAATCTTACATTCGAGATTAGGTAAATGAGTTCTTATTGTTCTAGTATGTTGTATCGCAGCAACTGCAATCAAATTACCAATTAATTTTTCCATAAAGATACATAAATAAAAAAGGAGAGGAAGTACAAACCACTTATCAACTGCAATGAAATGGCACCAAGAGGTGTAGAAGACTCCATGTCTGCAAACCACTTATGAGTCATAAAATATAAGTAGGATGCAATATCAATAAAAATGAAAAATTAACAAATAAACTGGAAAAAGAAACAAACACTACTGTCTATTGGAGAGAAAACGGAAGTAATATGCTAGATTGACAAACTAAACCAACAAATATTTTAAAAAACAAAACACTTTACACTATCACATAACTTTCTACTAGACATAAAATAGAAGTAGGATGTTATATTGAAAAACAAATCCAACAAAAAAACACTGAAAATTGTAAAACATAATAAGAAACAAGCCACGAAAAATGGAAGTATGATGCTATACTGGTCAATATTCTTATGACGTATGCTGCAAAACAACAATGTCAAAAGCTTGAACATGATGGTCTTTCTTTTGACCTCCAAAGTCAAAGCTAAATGTCTCTATAAAAAATATATAGTATAACATACCTTCTAGAATCTAGTATATTTGAACAAAACTCATTTATAACATACCTTCGGGAGCCTAAACTATTTACACTTTCACTAGTATCTTACATTCTTACTCAATTCTTATTTTCTTTCATGCTATAGCCTATCAAAGAAGGCTCTGTTTTATGCTTCTTCGTTTAAATGGTGCATGGGATTGCTTTCTTTATTGAAATGCTAGTAAACTTTGGTCAGCTAAGCTTACATAGAAATTGAATGCTTAAAGTTCATAAGCTTGCTATTACTTTGAGTTTATGGAGTTCTATGAAAGCAAAACATACTTATGTTCTGATTTGAAAGGTTTAGTACTTGAATACTTCACAACAAAAAATAAAAAGATAGTCAACTATCGATCTTGTGTGTATGTGTGTGAATTCGGGGTATAGAAAACGGGGCGAGCAGGTCAATCAAAGAAATTAAGATCTGGACTTAGTAACATATTTTTGTTCCAGAAACACAAATGTAAATGTGGAAGTTAAAACAACCAATAACACATATAATAATAGCAAACTTAAAACGACTAATAACCATACAACAAAAAGGAACCACGAAGATGATTAACGAGTTGCAATTTACAAACTTTATACCTCTAGAAGAAAGATCAACGTGAACAAAGTCTGGATCTACAAGCTCCAATGCAACTAATACTTCTTCTATGAGTTCCTTCTTCTCCAAGGTGCACCAAGAACATTCCAAAACACTTAAAACACTTTCTTTTTGCTCACATGGCTCGTCTAGGGTTAGGGTTTCAAGAGAGGGTGTTGGAGAGGTGAAGGTTGAGAATGGAATGGGTTTGAAGGATTCATGTTTGTTTGTTATTTAGCTTATGTTTATGATTACTAGTTCTTCGTTCTTATGTTTATTTGATACTTTTCTTCATGATATTGGTATTTTATAAGCAACTGTTAATCTTTTTCTCTGATTAAGTAATGGATCATTAAATTTGTATGGAACAAGAGCTTTGTAATGGTAGAAATCATATTCATCTTGGTGTTTGAGTGCTTGGTTACAACATATATCTTGAATCTTCACTCCATTTCTGACCTTTTGGAGGATTAAAGTATCCACCTTTCTCATTAAGGCATGCTAGATCTAGGTTTCTACCCAGTTTTCTCCATGTCTAGGTTGATAGGAGTGCATGGATCCCATAAAGTTATCAAATTTATGGGTTATTGAGGTCCCTCAGTATACATATGTCTCAGATATGGAGTTTGTTGGTATAATGAGCTTCATGCATGAGATTGTGGTGTTATTTCCAAATTTTGACCTAGGTTAGAGCTCTAGACTTGCATTGGACATGCATGACTGAAAAACATAAATCTTTGTGATGCATTCGACCTTAGGAAGCTTATTGGAAAGTTGGAATGAGGGGCTTATCGGATTGCGAGCTGAATACATCAACTTGTGGAAACCCAGTTCCCACGACGTGGCATTATGGCCACTGCGGCGTGGCGGCTGAGGGGGGGTGTCAATTGTTTTGTCATGGAGCACCTACAATGTGTCCTATAAGTGGCCATGACGTGGAGACCTACTGAGGTTGACTTTGACCATTGAATTTTGTCAATGGTTGACTTTTGGTTAATTTAAGGGTTTTAGGGTGTAGATTGAGAGGGTACTCTTTATTGCTGTTAGGTGTCTCATAGGATCGGTCTTCACTATGTGATTGCTGTTTTGTTTAGTTGCTATTTGCAAGGTGAGTCTTCTCACTATATTTACATGTGTGGTAGTGTATACATGCTGACCAACTGGCGATAAGTCTCTCCTATTATTATTTGTGTTAAATCTGTTTCCCCTACTGCACATCTGTAGAGGCTTTTTATGTTTGTTTTTTTTTCTCCTTTTGTACATCACAATGTTTAATGTCTTTTTTAATTGGATTCAAGTATAGGATGCAACTTGCAATTATTTTGATGCTCTGTTTTTGCAGCAGATTGGCTACCACTAAGGGCAAAAACGTCAAAATACAGAACTAAGATGAAAAGACGAGTCATCTGAACAGATGAGTTTTCTGGTGTATAAATGGTATACTCCAGCAAGGAACCAGAGAGGAGTAATCAGCAGGCAAAAAAGACTCAAATTAACACCAAGGGCAAAATGGTCAAAATATGAAGCAAATTAGGAAAATAACAGGCACCGTGGATGTAGAAATATGTTGCTAACTTCTATTATCTTGAGCTAATGGATGAATAAATAAAATAAATCGCAAGAAACCATTAGAAATTATCCTCAAATATCTTGATAGGTTGAGACTAAAAGTTAAATTTTGTTTCATCATTTGTTAAAAAACTTGTGCTTTATACCCATGATATATATATATATATATATATATATATATATATATATATATATATATATATATATATATATTATATATATATATATATATATATATATATATATATATAACACGGTTGTATTTACAAAACTGGGTCATATGACTGCCGATAAAACATCCCGGTTTTGTCCATGAATCCGGGTTTTTTAACTTGATAATGTAGCCCGGTTCCTTACTGCAAACCGGGTGATATAGTTCTCCCTTTTATAAAACCCGGTTTCTACATAATATACCCCGGTTTTTTGAATAACCGGGTCTTCTCATATGTGGCTTTTTGTAGTAGTGTGTTATCAATTTTCTGCCCTACAAAGATATAATAAGTGGGAGGGGCTTGACAAGTTAAATTGATTACACGTTTATAGTTTTACGCAAAACACAAATTAATCGTGTATTTAGGAGTACCTTCAATATTTAAAATTCCTCGACTCCAAACCAAAACTCTCACTCACTCTTTTGCTCGCCTTCAGATTCCATCCATGGCTACTTCCGAGTTCAAGAAGATTCATATTCACAGGGACGATAGTGTGAGTTTTTCATATTATTTCCTTTACCTACTGAAATGCCCTTTGTTCCATGTTGATTAGAAATTCAGTAGTTTTCTTTTGGCGTTTATACATTTGTATATGTATTCGTTTTTGTTTATTATAGTAAGGAAGAAAAGGAAATGTCAGGAGAAAGCTGAAATGGAGAGAAATTCGATGTTTTGCTTTGTGTTAACATCGATTTTGAGAAAGATGATTTGTTGACCTTGAAGTTACACATCTATTCATTGCAGATATTTGATGCATATTTGGTTGGCAAAGAAGACGCGCCTGGAATCGTTGTTCTTCATGAATGGTGGGGAGTTGATTTTGAGATCAAGAACCATGCACTCAGAATTTCTAAAATTGAATCTGGCTACAAAGTACTTATACCCGAGTAAACTATCAAACCTTACTTCTAGGCTTCTAGAACATAACATCTGATTATAAACTTAATTAATTCAACTCTCATCTCCCTTTTATAATTAATAAATCATATCTTTCCATGATTTCAGTTTATACCGTGGAAAAGTTGGTCATGATGCTGTAGAAGCAAAACATTTGATGGATTGTCTTGATTGGCCATGTGCGTTAAAGGACATCCAAGCTTCGGTTAACTGGCTCAAGTGCAATGGCTCACGGAAGGTTTCTAAATACACCAAATAATAGTTTTTGTATTTTACTCGATATTAATGCATGAAATAGAAAATGTAGTTTTTAGTTGATTTTAATGTGGTGATTGATGATTTGATATAGGTTGGTGTGACTGGATTTGGCATGGGTGGTGCTCTTGCTATTGCAAGTTCCGTTTGTGTCGCTGATGTTGTTACTGCTGTATCATTTTATGGAGTTCCTCCTCTTCACTTTGCAGATCCTGCTAAAATCAAAGCACCTGTACAAGCTCATTTCGGTGAACTTGACAATATTGCTGGATTTTCGGACAAAAAGGTACCTTTTATCTCAATTTTATGATGAATAAAAATGAGAATAGCTAAAAAGAAGGCACATAGTTCATAGTAAAAAACATGTGAGAGTGAAAGAGCAAAGAAGTAAAAACGTGGTATGAATGATGTTAAATGACTGAATTACGTTATGTTTAGAACTAATATAAAATACAAATGACAATAGCTACGAAGAACCCACATACCTCAGAGTAATAAAGAAGTGAGGTTGAAGGGTAAAAAGGTAAAAAGGATGTGTAAATGGATTATGTGCCCTTCACTCACTTAACTCATTAAGACCTACTTTATATATTTAAGTCTAAAAGAAAGGGAATATTTCGAAAAAAAAAACCACTATAATATCAAGCTTTTATTGAAAAACCGGTACTTTTTTTTTCGTTTAGAAAAATCACCACTTTATTTTTTTTTCCTTTTAGAACCACTCATATTTCTAAAAGAAAAAGAAATCATACCAAGAAAAACTTTTAAAAACATCATTTTTTGAAAACATTTTTTTTCGGTATACAATATAATTTCTACCCATGGAACAAACTTTGTTAACTAGTAGATGTGAGAATGGATCTGTTACTAAAACCAAAACCGAGCCGAAAATTTCGGTTTGTGACTTTGAATTTTAGGTTTTTTATTAGAATACGACATTTCTTTTTGGTATTTCGTTTTTTCCTGCTTTTTATATATAAAAAACCACATTAAACTGAAACTTGTTGGTTTTTATGAAAAACCAAAAACGAGAATGTTGGTTTTCTAAAACGGTTTGATTTTTGTTGTTTTTTTTTCTTTTGTTATGGGACATTTTTTCAGTTGCAGTTTTGTTTTTTTATTTGTACGGTTTCAATTTTTTTTGCAAACCCTATTAACCATCAATGCATTTTAGACCCAAGTATGATACAGTAGTTTTGTAAAGATATTCATAAAGTATATTGAAGTTTAAGCATGATGATGAGAGTTTATTAACAATGTATATGGCTACAAGAACACTGCAACCCTAAAGCTTTACAGGAAAACAAGAAACCGAAAAAAAAAAAATCAATAGTTTGGTATTTCCAAAATCAAAAACCAAAAATTTCGGTTCAATGTAGGTTTTAGTAAAAAATTGAACCATTCTCACATCTAATGGTTAACAAACTTTGTTTCATAGCCACAAATTATGATGATGAAAAAAAATGTTTTTTTGAAAAGTTTTTGGTATTTTCTGAAAGAAAAAAATAAAACAACGGTTTTTCATATAAAAGCTTAAAAAAGTAGTGGTTTTTGTGAAATACTCCCTAAAAATGCCCTTATATATGTCCCTATTAAGTTCATTTACCATTAAATCAAATAGAAACAACACATAGGGGTTGTTTCTTTGTTGTTGTTTTTTCCTTCATCAAGTGTGTATGGGTGTCAGTGGCGGACCTTAGTGGTGCCCGGGGGGTCCCGGGCCACTGCTCCGATTCCGGCATGTAGTGTAAAAAAAAATTATGTTTTTTTATTTTTTTCTATTAGGTGCACCGGCTTAAAATACGAGTGCCACTATTAATTTAGATTTTTTTGGAAAAAAAATTTTAGTGCCACCCCTACTAAACCTTCTGTGTCCGTCACTGATGGGTGTTTATTTGGAGTAACTATTATACAAGCAAGTATTGTTTTTGTTTTAACCCTATCAGTAGTCTTAATATGAAAATTTTGACAATCGTTCTTTCTAGAAGTCATGCTGAACAATATTAAGGCCGGACGGAGCGGGCACGGGGAACGGAAGCTGGGAGCTTCCCGCCCGGCGGAACACCGCACTGTCGGTGCGGGAAAGGGTTGTGCGGGAAACGGAGAGGGGAGCCTCTCCCGCTCTCTCTCTCTCTTGCTGCGATTGGCCGGCCCTTTTTTTATTTGTTTTTTTGTTGAAAAACAACCGTTGAATAACGGTAAAAAATGTAAATTTTTTTTTTGCTGTAACGGCTAGTTTTGTTTTTATTTGTTTTTTTTTTATCCTTTTACCACTACTATAAATACATACATATAACTTAAAAACATCACACTATCCTCTATTCTCTCTACTTTATATCAACAAAAAAAAATGAATCCCGACAAGCAAATCCCAACTTCCGATCGAAGGAAAAAAAACCATGGTTCGAGTATAAACATCCCTCCTCGCAACATTTTTGCTATCGATTCATCCCCGCAAGGAGTTTACCGCCCCCAACTCGATGCTCTCATTCAATCCCCACTACAATTCCAATACCAAAATGTTGGTCAATATTACCCGATGCAAGTTCCAAATGTTCCGTCGCAAATGTTTTCAAACTTTGTTGTGTTTCCGGATCAACAATCGCCAAATCAACCTCAACCCCAAACTCAAACTGAAACTCAAACCCAAACCCAACACCACCACCAACTTGTCGATGAATCGGATGACGCGGAAGAAGAAGACATGGTTCCCGAAACTCAACCAACACCATCATCTCTCGGGACCGGCTCTCGAGCTCGTGATGAAGAAGAGGGAAAAAATTCTGAAAAAATATTTTATGTAGGTCGTTGTTGGTTTGTTTGATTTATAGTTTGTGTGTGTTTTTTTTTATTTTCTACTTTTTTATATTTTAGGTTTAATGTAAGTTTTATTTTAATTAATGAAATGCTTTTTATTTTTAATTAAATTTTATGTTTAGTATTAATTTAAAAATTATAATTCATAACAAAAAAATTAATTTTATTTAATAAAAAAAAAAAGTGAGGGAAGGTTTCCCACCCATTCCTTGGCTTTTAGGTGAGGGAAAGAGGGGTATGACCCACCAAAAGTGAGGAAAGCTTCCCTCCCACTCCTTCCGGTCTTAATAATAAAGACTTTATGTAGATATGATATAAATTGAAATTGTAAATGATCACCAATAAAAAAAAAAGTCACAGAAATGAAAGTTATTTCTACTAACTACAACTTTTTACAAATTTGTCCTCGATTATTTATATTTTCTTTTTGATATTATAGTTAATTTTGGGCTTGTTTTGTAGACTGCGAAAGCTCTGGAAGAAAAACTGAAGGCGTCGGGAAAGCAATATGAGGTACATTTATATCATGGAGTGTCACATGCATTTATGAACACTTCTCCTGAAGGTGAGAAAAGGAGAAAGAGTTTAGGGATGATTGACGAAGACATAACTGGTACAGCTGACGTGGCATGGTCTCGTTTCCAAGCCTGGATGAACCGTTATTTATGAGCTTGAGCTCAATCATAATTGAGGTAATAATAAACCGAAACACCATCTTAGGAATCAATGATGTGGTATATTTGATGCTAAAATGGTGTGTGTATTGTTTGTAAAATCAGTTTTTTTTTTCTGTTAAGTTGTTGATATCATTTCAATTATGTGATGTGTAACCCTCTCGAACTATTTGATATTAAAATGGTGTGTATAGAAATGTTATCTAGTGCCTAGAACCTAGTTGTATTTTCTTTAGCTAAATCGGTCTTTTTATTATTGAACACCAACTTGCAACCCACGACCTATATTAAGTTTAGGTAAGTCATAAGTGAACAAAGCTCCTACGTCTTGTTCTTATGCAAAGATTCCACCTCTTCTATCATAACAACCATCCATAACTCTTCCACTTTTGAAGAAACCACTTTGTGGTAAAATAGTTCACTTACTGGAACTAACCATTTCATCGGCTAATTGTAATGCATAAGCCCCCAAACCTTCAAACCAAAACCATAATGAGGGGATGCATATTCTTTAATGGACGATATCATGCTATGGACGAACAATAGTTTCACGTTGACGATTAGAACTAGTTCCCTTATCATAATCCAAATTATGTATTACTGGAGAAAACACACCGCCGAATGGACTACCCTCTATGTGGTTGTGTATTATGATGAAATTATGTGACTCCTCAATGACATAACCATGTACCCCATGCACCATTCTCAACCCATTAATGATTAAACACCACTTTATACATGCAACTCGTAGATATGAGACATTGTTTGGGTACGTTCATCGTTACAACTTTGTAGCCTCCTATGTTGCAACTCCAATTTGAGTACCGCAACCAATATTTTCCAGACAATGGTAGTAGTCGACAAATTAATAGTTTAACTTGTCGACATGTCCATAATGTCCTCCCAACTGTAACACCCTCGTATTGACAATTTTAAATAGCCATTTAATCAATGAACAAACATGTAAGTAAAAGATTTACGGACAAGGTTCCAAAAATTGAAATTTTTAACAGTTTGATTATATTGAAACATAAAGGTGTACAAGGGTATGACAAAATAATCAAGAGACAATAGTTGATTATTTTTTTTTTGAATAATTTGAAGAAATTTAATTGTAGATCGAACATAAAAATAAGCTTAATAATTAAATATATATACAAAATCTAAAGTTGATTGCCCTTAAAAGTCATTATTCATTAGTTTTATTCACATGCAAACCATGTTTTAGTTGTTACTAAAAAAATTCATACCGGTCGTAAATATATGTCATAAAACAATATGATATTAATATGTATTTATTTTATAATATAAATAAAAATGACAATAATTTAATATAAATATTATTAATTAAAATTAAAATTCCAATAATATAATTATTTTAAAATATGTATCTGATAAAAAAATTAACAATAATGAGTATACACCTACTTTATAATATACCATTAGTATCTTTAATCAAATAAAGAGAAAATTGCAAAGTGGTCCATGTGGTTTGCAACTTTCTTTGGATTGGGTCCAAAAACTTTCATACTTGAGAATTTGATCTTTAATGACGATTTTTATTGTGGATTTGGTCCTCATGTGAAGGTATATTTGTATTTTCACTTGCCTTTTCATCTTAGTTAGAAAAAAAAATAGAAAACTATAAGGACCAAATTTTGCTATTTTCTGCACATATCAATACATACATATTTGATTATTTTCCACACCATTTGTCAAACAAAGTACATAAACACCAATACCACACAAAATACATATGTTTTACTTTATATAATACCAAAAAAGTACAACGTAGGTAGTTAAGAAAATTACATATAATACCATTGCTTTTAAAACACAACAAACAAGTACAAATGACAAAAACATCAAATGACATCAAAAGAAACTTAACAAGCATCAAACAATAAACACCCTGACCCGTCTTTAGCTCGGCCTATAATTTGCCACAAAAAGTCCAGAGTTCTCTGCTTCTCTGTATTTTCCATAACTTCATCAATTAAATCCTTACTTTCCATAACTTCATCAATTAAATCCTTCATCTTTAAATCAGACTTGTTTTCTTCATGAAGATAGAACAATGCCTTAGTCCTTACATTGATTTTAGGTTTCTTCTTCATAGCTTCCAACTATTTGACCATACTTTCTTCATGATAATTTAGACACAACTTTTCAACATTAAAATCTAACCTCATTTCTGTAAGTTGGTTGACCTGCTCGGTAGAAAATGTTGCAATATGTTGCATGTATTCTTCTGGTGTGATATATATATATATATATATATATATATATATATATATATATATATATATGTGTGTGTGTGTGTGTGTGTGTGCAATTAGCTCTAATAAACCCAAATTTATATACACTTTTGTTTATATGATTACTAAAAACCATATAGAAGTATATATGCATGTTTACATGACTACTAAACAACACAAATAAAATTCTACACATTATTACTATCTTGAAAATAAAGTATGAGTTTTTTCAATGTCATAGCAACAATGCCAAATTCACCCATTTTTTGGGATTACTATCTGGGAAATGTACTATTTACAAGGATTTATACTCGGTTTCATGATTACTACCTAAGAAATTAGTTAAGACATTGATTACAAATTAGGGATCTTTTCATTTGTCATAACAATTAAAGGGTAGTAGCCTAGATTATCCCTATAAACAACCACACCTAGAAAAAGTTCATCATATTTCCAAGTTACAAACAAAACCTAGTTCTCTAAGAAAAATCCACAACAAAGAAATGACGTCAAGCATTCGATTCCAATCAGATTTAATCCTTGAAATCGAGTATGATATATGGAAGGACATGAGAAACATAAAAAAGTTTTAATAAGGTTCAAGGAGATAAACTCAAACGTTGAGAGGAAGGTAATATGTTGGAATAGCTCAGAGGCTTCCCATACTCCATCAATAGGTTTATCGCACAACTTTACATCTCCAGATCTCAAGTTAAAGATACAGAGCTCCTTTTGGCCCTTAATAATTTGTTGGAGGTAATTGAACAATGATTGAATGATCGTATGACACATCTTGACAGGGTTCGACATGGGTGAAGCCTCAAGATTGCAACTTTTGATGTTCTTGATAGGTTTAAACTTGTGATGTTTTTTTGGTAAAGGTTTAAGGTTCTTTTGGTGTAAAAGATTCAACCTTTTGTGAATGAATGTAATATAATCGATGTTTTATTATCTTTAGTGTATGAATATTAATGAAAGTAACATAAACTTGTAGTGTAATACCTTATATTAGATGAGGATGCCATCTGAATCGGTGCTTAGGGCTTTTGATGCCAGTGTTGAAGAGGTGAATGTCGGTGATGAGAAACAAAGTGATTATCAAAGTGGACCGGAGAAGAAAGGGAAAAAGTGGATTGTTTCCTGAATTAGTGTTCATATGGGATGACGTATTCGGATAATAGATGAAATGGCATGTGAAAAGACAAATATACCTCACGCAGCAAAAACAAATGATTGTTATTTGTTAAGTCCAATAACCAAATCCAAAACAAAAGTTTGTCAATAAAAACCAAATTAACAAATTGAAAAGTTTTTGGATTCAATTTAGAAAAAATGGAAACCACATAGATAAATTTTACAATTTTTGTAAAAAATAAATGATTAATTTTAGTTTGTACTTTCAAAGAAAACAAGTATCCTTAAAACGACTCCGTTCAGTTGAATAAAAACCCAAAAGTCATATCTTGTCGAGGTCTTATTAAAAAAATAAAAATAAAATCATCGGTCGGTGAGTAGCGAGTTGTTGAGCCATCGAATCGAGGTAGAAAAGTTCAAACTCAATGGCACTGCTAAATTATTCCAGAGTCTTCTCAAAAACCCTCAACTCAAAAGCTGTAGGCAGAACTCTCACTCCCTCATTTGCTCGCCTTCAGATTCGATCCATGGCTACTTCCGAGATCAAGAAGATTCAGATTCAAAGAGACGACACCGTAAGTTTTTCGTATTTCCTTTATCCATTGAAACGCCCTTTGTTCTCTGTGGATAAGAAGTTTAGTAGTTGTATATTGAGTGCTTACTTTTAAATTGGTTGTCCACGATTACGAGCTGTCAAATTATGATACATATGATGGTTTCTTTGCCCTAATCATTATGATACTACGATTTCTTTGTTCTAATCGTGCGCATGCTTAATCTGATACATATGATGATTCTTTGATCTAATCGTGCAACTCCATTAGATTGTTATTCTATAGAGTTGATCAATATTTTTGAGCTTGCTACTTTATTCAAGCTCACTCTCTAGTGTTCATTCTGGCTTTCTTATATGATTTGTTGACCTTGAAGTTACATATCTATCTCTTCATTGCAGACATTTGATGCATATGTGGTTGGAAAAGAAGACGCGCCTGGAATCGTTGTTCTTCAGGAATGGTGGGGAGTTGATTTTGAAATCAAGAACCACGCCCTCAAAATTTCCAAACTTGACCCTGGATACAAAACACTTATACCCGAGTAAACTATCAAAACACTTGTAATTATAATCTTTTAATTCCCATCTTCTTCTCTAATCCATAATCAATAAATCAAATCCACTTCCATGATTTCAGTTTATACCGAGGAAAAGTTGGTCTTGATGCTGCAGAAGCACAACATTTAATGGATGGTCTTGATTGGCAAGGTGCTGTAAAGGACATTCAAGCTTCAGTTAACTGGCTCAAGGCCAATGGCTCACAGAAGGTTTATATACTTTAAATACAGCAATGATTTTGGTATTTTACTCGATGTTAATGGAAGAAATAGTAATGTAGTTTAGTTGATTTTAATGTGGGGATTGATGATTTGATATAGGTTGGTGTGACTGGATATTGTATGGGTGGTGCTCTTGCTATTGCAAGTTCTGTTTTAGTCCCTGAGGTTGATGCTGCTGTTGCATTTTATGGAGTTCCTCCTAATGAACTTGCAGATCCTACCAACATTAAAGTACCTGTACAAGCTCATTTTGGTGAACTTGACAACATTGTTGGATTTTCGGATGTTAAGGTATGATGAATTAATGACCATTTTACCCTTTTGTTTGAAATTTATCTTGAATAGAAATGACAATAGCTAGAAATAACCGAAATAGTTCATAGTGAAAAAGAAGTGAGGGTGAAGAGTAAAGAAGTAAAAAAAAAGTGGTGTAATGCTAAATACAGTAAATGACCAAATTACCCTTTTTGATATTGTGCTTTTGGTTTTGTTTTGTAGACTGCTAAAGCTTTGGAGGAAAAACTGAAGGCATCTGGAAAGCCATATGAGGTATATATTTATCCTGGAGTAACACATGCATTTATGAACACTTCTCCTGAAGGTGTGGAAAGGAGAAAGAATTTGGGAATGATAGATCAAACCGAAGCTGATCCTGCTGATGTGGCGTGGTCTCGTTTCCAATCTTGGATGAATCGTTATTTATCAGCTTGAGTTTAATCATATAATCGAGGTAGTAATAATAATAATAATAAACCTAAACACCATCTTAGGATATAATCAAGGATTTGGTAAATTTTGTTAAAAGTTGTGTGGTGTCCTTTTGTAAGATCAATTTTTTGTTCGTGGTTATGTTTGTTGTTAATGTTAGAGATCTCATTTTAAGTATATGATTGTGTGACCCTTTTTGAAGATTTTTTGCTAACATAATAATGATTTCCATGCCCACAAGGCCACAGCATAAGAATTTACAAAAGTTTGAATGTGGTGGTTGCAAAGAGAGCAACACGAACAACATTACATCCTCGTTATCAATCTTTATTCCAACATTCTTAGCTCCAAATAGAACGGAATTTGACTCGTATAAATGTTTCCTTCACACTAAACTTTTCTTAATTCAACAAAAACAAGCGTTATGAATAGGGATGAGAATTTGACCTGAAAACCCGAACCCCCGAACCTAATTAGCCCTTAATAAACAATTCGATTAGGTTTTCGGGTATCAATATTATGTTTATTCGGTTTTCGGGTTATTCGATTCGGGTTACCCAAATAATGGCTTAATCGGGCCAAAAAGACCTAACCTGAAATTGAAAAGTCACATTTTTGAATCCTTCTTTGATCGATCATTGATTTGCCTTGCTTGTGTATTCTCTTGTTACCCAACCCACCATCAATCGATCAAAATTTCACCCAAAAAAAAATCTACGAAATTCAAGAGTGAAGGCCATCGGTGACTTACGAAATTGAATCCCTAAGTTCGTCCATTGTTCATCGTCGCCTCGCCTTTGCCCTCTGTTGGATTGATTCACGCAAGAAAAAAAAAATCTTATCCTCATCCTTATTTTCTATTGTGATCGAACACCAAAAATGAAAACACTACTTCTACTGTGAAATCGAAATCCATTCTAGTTTCAAGAAATCGAACTTCATACTTCATCTTCAAGGAATCATTCAAGTCATGGAAAATTGGGTTGCAAGTCAAGAAACTCAAGTAAACATCGTATCTTAATCTACCACTCAATCTTTCAATGTGTTATTATGTATGTTACTCATTGAAATTTGAAAGTGTTAATCTACTACTCAATCTTTCAATGTGTTATTGTGTATGTTATCAACTGAAACCTTTATTTTGAGGATAAGAGAAGCTGTTACCTAAGTCCTAAGACTCTAGTGTTGTAGTCAGAAGTCATGTCTTAACACTTTCTCTATAAGAGAAGCTACCACGTCTTAACACTCTCTATAAGTCCAAGCAATGAGGACTTTGACCCACCCAAGTCCTGTTTTAAAACTCATACATATAACACCAACCATATAATATAGAGATAGTTACGAAACATTTTTTTTAGAACCCTGAATGAGAGAATTTAATGGAGAAAGCAACCATATTTGTTCTTTTACTTGTTTCACTCCACATTGATAATCTATTTAAATGTTAAAGAACCCATATTGTTATTCTATTATATTAAAATGATTATGTTATTGTTCTTTAGATTGATAATAAAGATGTATGTGTTGATAACACTCAAGTTGAAAAGTTGGAACAAGTCAAACAAGAAACACGAAGAAAAGGAAATATGTCAAAAGGGCGGCTTGTTGGGCCAATTGTGATGTAGTTCATATGACGAAGTTAGACATAACAAATGCAAAAAGTGTGGCATGTTGCTCAAAACCGAATCAGGAGGAAACAGTACTTCTAGTATGATTAGACATACGGAAAGATGTAAAATGAACCCAAATTTATAAAAAAATTAGAAAACCAAATCACTCTAAATTTAAAAAAAATGATAAGGGGGAGAATAGTATTGGGACTTGGAAACATGATGAGAAAAGAATAATAATAAAAAAACTTTGTTAAACTTATTTGTAGTTGGAGAATTACCGTTCAAGTTTGTAGAGAATGAATCATGTATTGAATATACAAATGCATTGAATGGGAAAGTAGTTTTGCTATGTAGAACCACAATTTCAAATAGAGTCATGGATTACTTTCTTGAAGAAAATGCTAAGTTCTTTAAGTTCTTTAGTAATCCTCTAAGTAAAGTGCATTTGACCACCGATTATTGGACAAGTTCATGTCAAATGTCGAGCTATATGGTGGCCACGACCCACTTTATTGATGAAGATTGGGCCATGCACAAAAGAATTATCAACTTTAAATCTTTAGATAGTCATAAGGGAGAATACATTGGACGTACGTTGTTGACTTGTCTTCAAGAGTGGGATATCAATGATGTACTGAGAATAAACATAGACAATGCTAGTGCAAATGATAAAGAAATCGAAATTCTAATGAAAAAACTACCAAACTTGTACGATGGGGGGAAACAATTACACGTAAGGTTTATGGCCCACATCCTTAACCTTATTGTTAGGGATGGGTTTTATCAACACCAATCTAGTATCAAGTGCATGCAAAAGGCCATTAAATACATTAGGAACTCCATACAACGAATTCAAAGGTTCAAAAAATGCATGAAAGAACTAAATGTGGAATCTAAGAAGATTTTTTGCAATGATAGCCCAACCTAATGGAACTCCACATACGAGTTATTGAAGATTACGGTTGAGTTGGAGAAGGTTTTTGGCATGTTTGAAGTTAAAGGTAATTTCATATTCCATTCCATTGTTTCTTTTTTTATTTTTAATTTAAGCATGTTTGCAAAATTTTAAGCAACTTTGAACTATCATAACGTCTTCGTTGTTTTTCCAATTAGCCCGATTTTTTCCCATCTTGTAGTTCACAATTTAAACTACGGTTTACACTATTTAAATGCACTATTTGGTTCTATATTCAATGAGATACAGGCCCCTAAACATGGGGTATTGAAGCTGAGTTTTCTGTTTCAGCATGCTTGTAAAATTTTAGCGAACTTTGAACTGTCATAACGTCTTCGCTATTTGTCCAATTAGCCCGATTTGTTTTCCAGCTTGTAGTTCACAATTTAAACTACAGTCTACACCATTAACATGCATTATTTGGTTGTATATTCAATGAGATACATGCCCCTAAACATGGGGTATTGAAGGTGAGTTTTCTGTTTCAACATGTTTGAAAATTTTAGCCAACTTTGAATTGTAATAACATCTTCGTTATTTGTCCGATTAGCCCGATTTTTTTCCAACTTGTAGTTCACAATTTAAACTACAATTTTCATAGTTTAAATACATTTTTTGGTTGTATATTCAATGGGATACAGGCTCCTAAAGAAGAGGTATTAAAATTGTTTTTTTAACTAACATTTATTTTATTGTAATAGATCCTACATATGTTCGAGATGTTTTGACCCCCAGAAAAAAAAATTCAACATTTGTAGAGCTATGGTTGAATTTCTCGAGAAGTTCAAGGTGAAAACCGACATAGTATCGACGTCAACAAACCTGATGACACATCGTTTTTTTGGAGACATATGTGATGTGTACAAACACATTAAGGAATGGGCGGTGAGTCCCCAATTTTGTTTGACCAGGAAGGACATGATTGAAAAATACAATAAGTATTGGGGCTACCTTGAAAAAATAAACGACTTTGTATTTTGCGGTCATATTAGATCAACGGTTCAAGTTTGATTTTCTTCAACAAGCCTTTGAGAAGTTGATTAAGTTGAAGAATAAACAAAAAGATCCCATGCTCAACTCGGAAGTCAGTTTGAAGGCTAAGGCCTTAATACGAGGTCTTCAAAAAAGATTTGAGAATTTTTTTTATTTCTACAAATCAAAGTTTGACAATACCGACTCTTCTTAAAGTGAAACACATGGTCATGAAGATGTAGTTGTGATTGATGACAAGAACGACTTCATGTGTGATTTAATAGTACAATCGGATTACCCATCGGCATCAATGGAAATGGATTTGACACGATACCTAAACGAGCAGTCAGTTAAATACAATAAAGATTTTGATATTCTACTTTGGTGGAAACAAAACGCGTCTCGTTATCCTATTATATCCCATATGGCGAGAGGTATAACTTTATTATTTGTATACTTTTTTTATAATTATATTTAACACTTTTGATGTTTATATTGATAGATATTTTGGGACTACAAATCTCTATCGTGGCGTTAGAGGCGGCGTTTAGTACAAGCGGGCGGATATTAGTTCCATATCGAACAAATTTGTCCGCAAATATAGTAGAGGATTTGGTTTGAACCTAAGATTGGGTAATGAAATCAAGAAAGCCAATTGTAGACAACATTGATGAAATTTTGAAAGACGATGAGGTCGCGGAAGCTTTAGAAGAGGCGATAAACAATGGAGGTGGAAGGGGAAAACAACTAATCAATATTACCGACTAGTTTTTTTAGAACGGAAAATCTATACTACTCTTAAACTCCTCCTAATATCACCTATGTCAATGAGACTTGAACCCTCAACCTTTAGGAGGGAGAGCAACACCCTGTACCGCTGGGCTAGAAGCCCTTTGGTAATTCGTATTTTACAAATATTCCCGACTAGTTAATTCGTATTTTACAAATGTTATTTTGGATATGGTTAAAAACTTAATTTATATTTTATTTTGGGTGTTGAATGGTTAATGTTTAACTTATATACTTATATATGGATTTTTGGGTATTTTGGGTGTTTAATGTTTAGTGTTTAGTATGTTGCTTCACAACCATATCTAAAGATTTGGAGTTTGGATTTTACATTCTTATATCTCAAGAATAATTAATTCGTGTTTACATTCTTACTACATAAATTTTAACCTTTTTTTACACCTTTGAAACAATTATATATACTTTGCATTATTTTTATTTAACAAATTTGTTTCTTTAAAAGATTTGTTATGAAATCATAAGCTACAAAAGTCATACAAAATACAATGTTTATAATCATATTGTAAATGTTATTTAGGTTATAGAGTCCTAATACGGTTTATTCGGTTTTTTTCGATTATATTAATTAGGTCCTTAATCATCTTATACATGTTATTCGGGTCGGAACCGAACCGAACCGATTAAGACCTGAACCGAACCAAACCCGTATTGCTTATTTGGTTCGGTTTTTGGTCCATGCAATTACCCTTATTTGGTTTTCGGGTTATTTGGGTTCGGGTCGTGTAACGACCCAAAAATCAAGGGTAACAATTTCATTTTTAATATAGCTAAAACATTGATACCATTTATTTCAAACATTTCAAAACATCATT